AGAAGGGGACTCACAAAAATGATAGAAGGACAGTGACCAATAGTGGGACGCATATAGGCTGTAACTTTAACCTTTCTTACTACTTAGTGCTTAAATATCTCTGAAAGATAACTATATATTTGTGCCACTCGCTGTAAAAACTATCGGTCCGTGAGATCCACATGGAGTGAAGTTCATGCGTGGTAGAGCCACGTTGCAGCTATTGTAGCACGAATGGGTCGGCTCGACCGGGAAGGACCACGCTCTCACAAAATAACATCGTAAAATAGCAGCTTAATACTGCCGTGTTTCGTATGGTGAGTGTAGAGAGAGATACGGTGACCCTTTTTTACTGGAAACATTCCATCTTAGTTCTTCGGGATGACAACGTATCTGCGTTTTGATTCTTAATCGAGGATAAATGTAGATGTCTATGGGCCACAGCAACCACTTACCATCAGGTGGACTGTGTGCTCTTTTGTCACCCTTATTCTCTAAAAATAAAAATAAAAATCCTTAAGGAACTTTATCCGCGACTGCACGTCGCTGCTAAAGATAAGAGGGCTGGTTTTGTTCTCGCTAGCGAACAAACGTAGCGTTCTCGGCATGATACCACGGGGATTAAGACCGTATGATGATTTAAGTTTTTTTTTTATAGTTACTTAATATTTTATAAATTTTAATGTCATGCAATAAAATGTATATTGCATAAATATCCTCTATAATTTTTTTCAGTATCACTATAGCTACCACTATAGTATACAGAGTTATGTTTCAAAGAGCAGCAATATTTTAAACTTATGTTAAAATATATAAATAATGATATTCCGTTATTGCAGTTTTTAAAAATACAATTAAATAAGACTTCTACTTTTATTTCAAATTATCCCAAATTGAATGTTATTTATGGGTAACAACGTTTTTGCCTACCGGTCGACCATTACGAATGTTTGCGTGCGCAGTAAGATCAGTCAAAATAATGCGTTACCCCGCATTTTTAATTTAAAAGATAAAAGGACAAATTGTTTGAGATTTTTTTTTATTAATTTTTTCTTCATCATTTGCCTACTTACATATTACTGAACGTTTTCTGCAAATATGGCCAGTTATAGCAAAATAACCCTGTATATAAAATATAGTATGTATATAGTATATTATAAAACCAACTATCAAATAAAAGAAATAAAAAACTTACCTATATTCATTTACAGCCTTAGACCATTTTAATGGTCTAAGTTTACAGCTGTCAAAAAAATTAAACCTATGGGTTTTCTGTATCAACGCTCATTAATAACGCTTATCGGGTATCAGACATTTTTTCGAATGACTGATTTCGTTAAACACGACTGCATCGAGTTATACTCTTTAGGGCAAATTTATCAATCGTATCGAATAAATTATAACCTGACTGAAAATAAAAGTGAAATAATTGAACTATTTTACTTAAACAACCGTAATTTTTAATTTGTTTACATTATATTTCATCCTATAAGTAAATTTTACGCGCGCATTTAAAAATCGACCCTGAGTATTACTAAGAAAAATATAATGCAGAGCACAAAAATAATTTATTAAAAGATCCTTAAATTTAACTGGTCATTGCTCGTCAGATTTTTTAGCAAACTGCTATTTTGGAAAGAAACCGGCGGATTGCGGTTTCGAAGTGCAACGCCCTCTGCATTTGCTCTCATATGAGCACTCACGAAGCGTTAACGGAGTCCCAGTCGTTTTAGATGACCCTAGATTTATTAGATTAGACCTTTTCTCGACGATACTTGACGACAGTAATAAATTCGGTATACCACGGTATCCCACCGTGTCGTGACGGTGTAAGAATACCCACTACGCCATATCATCCTGTGGATGTCGTAAGAGATGACAGAGGGATATAAATCAAGAGATGAACTGCAGCGTATTCATAATAACAACTAAAAATAAAAATAAATGTGTTTCCCAACCCCCGCTCGGCAAGCGTGGCAACTATTGAAAATTCCCCCCGTGTTTTGTGGAATATCAACGATCTATGGGGGAGGCCTGTTCAGAAGTGGACTTAACAGTAAAGGTGTGGGATACATTTACCGTAAAACAATGAATCGTTCACTTCTTAATAATAAATATATAATAAATGTTTATTTCCTTATCTCTTTCTACATTATATTATTGTTACGATATCTGAGAAAGAAACTATAAAAATAACCAAGACGGCGGTAGATAAACGCGATAATTGCTCTTAAATTTTGATACCTTTCATTAAACTCAATTTATCACAGAGCATACAATAAAAGATACAAACACATAACTAGACTATTATTCTTACTAACAAACTGCTATTATTTATAATTGTTAAAACGCCTCGAGTTAACTGTGATATACAATAGGGTTGTCACCTATTTTCAGGTCAAATATAATATTATTGTGACTGAGATGATCTATTACTAAATGTCAAAACCTATAGTGAGTCTAGTACTAACATATACTAACTATATACTAAAAGACTGCAAAAACCTCAATTCTGTGCAAAGGCACACATCACAGTTTTTAGAGGAATTTGGAGTTAGAGAATTTAGTGTCCTTCATATTTCGCCGTAGTTTAGTTTTCTGGTAAACAAATTCTCTGACAATGTTTGCCTTTAATGCCGAGCACGTGACATCAAAATAGAACATAAAATTTCATTTACTAATATTAGTAACGCCATTGAAGATCGAACTCAGGATTCGATCGAGCAGGATCGAGCACATGTGCTCCCCTACCTTGACTTAAATTTACTTAATCAGACAAAATTAAAAATATTTAATATAGAAAACTAAGACGACTCGGTAGTAGAATGCTTAATATTCGATTGCAACGCTGCAGGCTGCCGGTAGAAATGCCGAATGAAATAACTACTTGTATGGTCTACAATGGGGGGTGAGTTGCTCGCGTCCGTAGGCTACGACCACCTAACCTTAGGCCCACCCTACACGTGTCCCCCGGGTGGTGCTAAACGAGCGACAAAGCCGAAAAAATAGACTCGGCTCCTCGCCGTATGGTAGCGGCGTAAAATCTACCACCACCCCTTGTTCGCACCATGACTCAGGAAATAAAAAGAAATGGCCCCGAGTTCCCGGCGCCCCTTTAATGAGGCAGGGGTGCGAAGAATCTCCGGGAGAAAAAACCGGTGACGAGGTTCGCCACCCATCACGTTCTGTCTCCCGGAGGGGCGAAAAGTGGATTGCGGAAACCCGTCTGGCTACGCTGAATGTATGTGGAGGAATGAATGATAAGATGGATGAAGTACGCGAAATGATGAATGACAGAGGAATAGATGTGTTATGTGTGAATGAGACGAAACGAAAGGAAAAGAATGCCACTACACATGACATGTATACCGCGTATTGGTCTGGTGTAGACGAGACCGAACGGGCATGCCAGGGAGTCGGTTTCATCCTTTCAGAAAGAATGGGTCAATGTGTGAAAGAGTATGAATGTGTAAGCCCGAGGCTGCTATGGATACGAATGAAAATGGGCTTAAAGCAGCTGTTCCTGCTAGGAGTGTACGCCCCCGACATGTCTAAGCCCACTTACATCCGATAGCAGTTTTGGGACATGCCAAGGATGTTGTTGACAAAATGTAAGGAAAATGAAAATATTATTATGTTAGGAGACTTTAATGGAAGGGTTGGGGTGAAGAGGTCTGGTTATGAAAGGATATTGGGAACGTTTGGTGATGAAAGTATAAATAAGAATGGTGAAGACCTCCTCACCGTATGTGTGGAAAAGAATCTTTTTGTGACGAATACTTTTTTCGTCATAAGAAGATTCACATGTATGGGAAAGAGGTGATGATAGAAGCATGATAGATTTCGTAATTGTGGATGAAAAAATGAGGAGCGCAGTCGTAGATACAAGGGTTTACCGGTTTATCATTACTTGGTCTTATGTCGAATTAATGGTCTTTTCAAGCGTTGGCGGCATCGGACATCTGTGTCTACCACTGCGTTACAGCATATAAGAGTATATTAGAGAAGTTACAAGATGAAGATGTGAAAGAGAAGTATAAATGTAGACTGAGAGAAAATATTAGATGTTTGAATGAGTTGTGTATGAATGATTTAGACTTGAATACTGTGTGGGATAATATTAAGAAAGGTTTGGTGGATGCCGCCACCGAAGTATGTGGTGTAAGTAAGAGAACAAATGAAAGGAAAGGTAATACGTTGTGGTGGGATGATGAGGTATGGGTGGAAGTTGAATCAAAGAAGAAAGCATGGTTAGATTTACTAGCAACCAAAGCTGGTAATTCTTCTGGTATGAATGATGAGATTGAAAGAAAAAAGGCAGAATTTAGACGTCTAAATAAGAGAGTAAAAGAAGTTGTTGAAAGGAAAAAGAAAGAAAGAACGGATAAGAATGATAGAAGGATATCTGATAATTTCCAGGCTAACATAAAAATGTTCTGGAAACTCGTAAGAACTGCCAGGGGAAATACAAAACAGCCTATATAAATGCTATAAGAGACGAGAACGGATGTATTCTGAATGATGAAGTTTCGAATTTAAACAGATGGAAGGAATACTTTGAAAGCGTGTTTATGAGTGAAGAGTCGTCTGAATTAAATGAACTAGAAATTCCGAAAGAAGTGGAAAGGGGTATGGAGATAAGTGTAGATGAAATAATGAAAGCAATGAAAAGCATGAAAGCAGGTAAAGCAGCTGGATATGATAGAGTATCACTCGAGATGCTAAGGGCTGGAGAGGGAGTGGTGGCAGGCCTGCTGTACACCTTGTTTAATTTATGTTGGGAATTAAAACGGGTACCGGATGACTGGTGTAAAGCAGTTATAGTACCAATATATAAAGGAAAAGGGTCACAGCAGTACTGCAGAAACTACTGTGGTATCAGCTTGCTTAGTATTGTGGGTAAACTGTATGCTAAGGTGTTAATTGAAAGAGTTATGAAAGAAACTGATGGAAAAATTTGGGATGTTCAAGCAGGTTTTAGAAAGGGAATGGGGTGTACAGATCAAGTCTTTTCCATGCGCATGATTGCGGAGAAGTTTTTGGCCAAAAACCAGAAAGTTTTTTGTGCGTTCATGGACTTGGAAAAGGCTTATAACAGAGTGGACTGGAATGCGTTATGGCAAACACTGAACTCATATGGGTTGAGCGCTGGTTTGATACAGGCATTAAGGTCTCTTTATAGGGACTCTAGTGCTTGTGTCAGGATCAATGGGGTCTACTCGGACTGGTTTGGCATCCGAAAAGGTGTCAGACAGGGCTGTGTAGCTTCCCCTTGGCTGTTCAACCTATTTATGGACAGGTATTTGCAAACTTTGAAAGATGAAGAATGTGGGTTAAGAATGGGCGAGTTAACCGTCAAATATCTTTTGTATGCCGATGATCAAATCATATTTGCGTCATCGGCGGCTGAGTTGCAAATGATGGTTACATTAATGAACTGGGAATTAAAAGAAAGGGGAATGAAAGTGAACGCAAGTAAGACGAAAGTGATGGTTTTTGAAAGAGAAGAAAGCAAAACGGTATGTGAAATAAAAATAGAAGGAGAGTTAATTGAGCAAGTGGATGAGTTTGTGTATTTGGGATATGTATTTAGCAGGGATGGTAGATATGATAGGGATATAGAACGACGACTAAATGCAGGAAATAGAGTGAATGGGGGACTACACTCTATTATGAAGAACCAGAATGTGTCAAAAAAGGTACGTATGGTAATTCATAATGCTGTGTTAGTCCCTACTTTAATGTATGGTATTGAAAGCTGGGTGTGGCAGAAGAAGCACGAAATTAGAATAAATGCTGTAGAAATGCGGTCTTTAAGGAATATGCTAAGGTTGAATCTGAATGACAGGGTGAGAAATTGCGTGATAAGAGATAAATGTGGTATGCAAGATGATGTTGTGACCAGGATTAAGAAAGGAATGCTTCGGTGGTTTGGTCATGTAGAAAGAATGAATGAGGAAAGAGTGACAAAGCAAATTTATATGGCAGATGTAAACGGCCGAGTCGGGAAGGGACGCTCTAGAAAAAGTTTTTCGACCAAATTGGCGATATTTTAAAAATGGGCCACGTTAGAAGTACCCTTAATCGACGAGCATGTATGCGTAGATGTATGGATGTAAAGGAGGCGAAAGAGGTATGTCAGGATCGTGCCAAATGGAAGTCCCTAGTCTCTGCCTACCCCTCTGGGTGACAGGCGTGAGTGTTTATATTTTTTATATATGTGGTCTACAAACCTATTAATAATTGACACCTGTCTGGATGTTTGACTATGTGTAATGATCATACTAATTGAGCAACGAATATTCGTAATCAAAAAGAAAATAATCATAATAAAACAATCTTTGTGCTTACAACACATGTACAATAAAAATATCGAGATCGGCAAGGATCAGCAACTTCGAATATGGATAACGCCACCATACAATGGCAGAGTACGCATATCCTTAGTCTTCACAGACTGATGAAAATTAAAAATTGTTTAGCCTTATTCCGTACATTCCATTAAGCTTATCATAGAATACTATATAATGGTTGTCAACCTTATTTTGTACGCGGATAGGCGTCGCCGGGAGCACACATACAAGAAATTACGTCGTATTATCAGTTTTAATCACTACTACAAACCCGATTCGCTGTGTTGACAGACGGATTTTAATACATATTTATTTGTAAATAGCGTGCAATTTGGCATTTTCTAAATAATTTGCGTGCGAAATTTGGAAACGATTGTAACGTCAAAAGACATCCCGTGTTGACATTTATACGTGTGAATTGACGTGTTAGTGGCATTTTAGTGGCTACACGGGCTCCGCCCACTCCCCCGTTCTATTATGTACGTATTATAGTGTTCTATGAATTTTGTGTGTGACTTATAATAGTCCAATTTTTAACATGAGCCATATATTGCCATATATTGTCTCGTAGATTACGTGAATTTAAAGTTTATTTTTAGTTTAGCCTTATATTATATTATGTACTTTCTTCATTTACTTGCAGTATTGTCGAAATTATTCCTTTATTTGAGGAAATGTTCCATATGTTCGTTTTTTTTTTTTTTTTGGAAGAAATAAGGGGGGGGGTATGTTGATTTTACACTACCCCTTTTGGCTCTTGGCAGAAAGGAGGGCGCAGATATGTTCGTTGTTAGGGCTGTGCTTATATTAGTAAATGACACAAAGAGAAATTAGTATAATAAATTAAAACATTGAAATGTACAAAAAGTACCATCAAACATATTAACACAAAAGGACCGCGCTTTTATAGAAGGTTGGCAGCCCTGCTAGTGTGTTAAAATGGACGGCCATTTTAAAAATCGTATAGACCTCGATCAACTTCGATAAATAAAATAACCAGTGTTTTTTGATACAACGTGTCAATTAAAAATATTGTTAAGGGCATTCGTGATTAAAAGAGAAGCAAAATGAGCGTCCGGTCACAAAATAAAGAGGCCATTTCTTTATTTTGTAGGGCGGTTCACATTAGAAACCACTACATTAGGAACCGCTGTCCTGGAACATTTAATGTTGGGTTGTTTTCCAAAAGATTTTAAATCGTAGAAAATAACAAAACCTTTGATATTTTTTGTAACAGTCAATAATTCATCATCATCATCATTACAGCCCTTCACAAGTCCACTGCTGAACATAGGCCTCCCCCAAGTAATGCCACAAAGCACGGTCCTGAGCCACCTGCATCCATCGACTTCCTGCATGTCTTACCAGGTCGTCACTCCATCTAGTGGGGAGTCGCCCAACACTACGCCTACCGGTACGAGGCTGCCACTCGAGAACCTTTCTTCCCCATCGGTTATCGGTTCTTCGAGCTATATGACCGGCACATTGCCACTTCAGCTTACTAATCCGTTGGGCTATGTCGGTCACTCTGGTTTTACTGCGGATATCCTCATTTCTGAGTCTATCACGCAGAGAAACTCCGAGCATAGCCCTCTCCATAGCTCGCTGAGCGACCTTGAGCGTCCTCATACGGCCACCAGTGAAGGACCACGTCTCAGATCCGTAAGTCATCACTGGCAACACGCACTGGTTGTACAATTTAGTTTTTAGAGATTGAGGTATACCTGACCAGAAGATATGTCGTAATTTCCCGAACGCTGCCCAGCCGAGTTGAATCCGTCGATTGACCTCTCGGTCGAAGTTGGACTTACCTAGTCGGACTATTTGTCCCAGGTAAACATACTCATCAATAACTTCGAGTATAGTGCTCCCAACAACTACGGGCATAGGTGTGACATGGACATTAAACATGATCTTTGTTTTGTCCATGTTCATCTTAAGACCTATCCGTTGGGAGGCACTGTTGAGGTCATTGAGCATAGTGCTTAAGTCCTCCAGCGATTCTGCCATAAGGACTATATCGTCGGCAAATCGAAGGTGAGTGATGTACTCGCCATTGATGTTAATACCGTATCCTTTCCAGTCCAGTAGCTTGAAAACGTCTTCCAAAGCAGCGGTGAAGAGTTTCGGGGATATAACGTCACCCTGTCTTACACCTCTCTGCAGTTGGATAGGTTTCGAGCTCTGGTTCTGTACTCGGATAGCCATCGTAGCCCTACTGTACAAACACTTCAGCACTTCGATATACCGACAGTCAACTTGGCACCGCTGAAGGGACTGCAGCACCGCCCAAATTTCGACGGAATCAAAGGCTTTCTCATAGTCCACATACGCCAGGCAAAGTGGCAAATTGTACTCTTCAGTCTTCTGTACAATCTGCCGTACAGATCTCTGGCAAAGACTTTGGAGCCCTGGTTCCGCTCGATCGCTTCTTTAATACGAGCAGTATTAAAGTTGCGTAAGTCTCGCCGCATGCATTTGGAGATCTGTCTGTTCAGTTGCCTGTATGCTGTCAAATCTGTTGACGATTGCAGCCTCATCTCCCGTCTAACAGCCATGAGATTAAGAGTGTGATCGGAGAGTTTTTGTTTTCTTCTGCGGTGGGTCTTGCAGAACTTAGCTCCGACCGCATGGACAGTTTCCACGAGCTTGTCATTCATTTCATCAGTCAATAATTATTAATCTGGTATTTACGAATATAATAATTATTTTTGTTTTTACCTTCTTTTTAAATTTTTTAAACATCCCGAAGCCCGAACGTCGTTTGTACTGAAATTGGACCCCTTTTCACATTATTAATACTTTTGATTTGGCTTAATTTATCTATGTAAGCTCAAAAATAATTTTACTAATTTTATTGCGTTTAATTTATTACCGTTCCATGAGTAGTGAATTTTGTTACAAACCATTCGAAACATCGGGAAATAAAAATATATTAAATTCCATATAATTAGTTAGTGTGAATCATGTAGTATTCGTGTAATTATAAAAAAATATTACTAGTCAGGTTTACTTTAAATAACTTTTATCATTAGTATTGCTACTTTCGAAGTTTATGGCGTTGGATGAGGCCTATGTTCAGCAGAGGACTTTTAAAGGACTGTAATGATGGTGATGATGAATGTAAGCCATTTTTAAGAACTTTCAGCATCACTCTAGTAACGCCGTTTAAACTTTGTAGAGCCACGCTACAGCTATATTATGGTGGTAGCACGAATGGGTCGGCTCGACCGGGGAAGAACCACGCTATCACAAAATACCAGCGTAAAATAGCAGCTTAACGCTGCCGTGTTTCGTATGGTGAGTGTAGAGAACTGGAGACCCATTTTACTGAAAACTAGGCATTCCATCTTAGTCCTTACGGGTGAATAGATGTAGATGTCTATGGGCCACAGAAACCACTAATCATCAGTTGGACTGAGTGCTCGTTTGTCAACCTCTATAAAAAAATGCTGAACTATATTTAATTATAAGGCGTAATACGAAAATATTTTTAAAGATATCAGAGCGCGTTGGTCATTTTAGGTACTCAGATGAACTTTGAACTCTGTTTTGTGTGAGGTCGCCTCTATTTGTTAGCTAAATCACTCTTCGGTGCTTCGTTCTGTTCTTCTCTATACAGGGTGCTATATTTATTCATAATATTATAGTATATTGTAACATTTAGATTATATTGTAAAATTCATCACGCGTGTGTAAGTTTATACGATAATGGTGTTATGTCTGTGTCATAAGTACACTGAATTCTTGCTTCGTATAACTCTCAATAATTAGTATGCAAATATATACTGTTTATTACTGTCACATTTATTAGGCTATCACTTTACATTTGTTTTTGTCTTGATGTTATTGTAATCAATACAAAGTAACAAAAAATAAAGTTGAACATAGTTCTAAATCCAGTTGTATATCTAGTTTATTACTTTTTAAAACAACGTCTAAACTCCATACACACATACACATTACTCGGGAAGGAAATCTAAAGTCTGAATGGGCTGATTAGGAAGTAGAAGCAAAAAGACTATCACATCACTGTGTTGGGCCCCCTTATATCCCAGCATGCCATATTAGATGGCTGTTATTCCATAATTTACTTATTGAAGGTTAGGCCGCTGTTAACCTCACAATAACATTGTTGACACTCATGTCAATTTAAATACAAGTCAATTTATATGAGAACTCAAAATCAAACTTTAATAGAAATTCTATGGTGGCGGTAAATGAGGTCAAAGTATGTTGTAACCAAATAAACGTACCTTTTGTAATTTTTAAACATTAAAAATAATATGTAGCCAAAATAGGATAATCCATCCAGTTTTGAGACTATAAGTAGCAAATTTAGATCACTGGTGCAGTAATTTAATAATGTTGGTGTCAACTATTCAAATAACATTTAACATACCTATTCTGTTTAATAGATCTAACATGTTCTATTAATACCCGTTGTAATAGCGGCGGAAGATAATCCACTAACCCCATATCATATATAGATCAATATATAGATAGATAATACTTTATGACATGCCAAAAAAAACATAAATATGAACAAAAAAGAAGAAAAAGCAATGTGGTACAAAGGACAGTCTTATCGCTAAGAACAATCTCTTCCGTACAAACTATTGGACAGGATTGCAAGAATACAATAAAAACGTGTGTGGTTTGGCGACAAAAATAATATTATTTTTATTACAAACCATAAAATA